TGAAAATTCTCATATAATTGATTCACTTTTCATTACTATTTATTATATACAAAAAGCCAGACTATTCAGAAATTCACCTACTATGCCAAAAAGGTCATTAGTTTGAAATATCATTAGGAATAAAATATATCATTGTCATTGCTGGCTGAACTCTTGCTTTTTTCCTTACAAACTAAGATGAGTGTAATACTGGCACCACAATAAAACCACAACAGCACAGTAAAGTAATTTGACTGCATGTGATAAAACAGTGAAAAGTCATTTTATACACTGCTTTACTGGAGGGTGTATAAGCAGAGAGCAGCATATCAGTAAAGCTGATGATGAAACCTACTTCTAGCTTTACTACTTTTTACACTACATTGTAGAATGAAAGAAATTTCAGTCTGACCAATAACACTTACAAAACACTTGGACACTCGAGCTCTGTTCAAAAACTTACGGAGCTACATTGCTGTCTAAACATGCAGCAACCTCCTAAGGCAGCATCCTAGCTGCATACTGCTCACTGTAGGGATCAGTGAATATCCTGTGAATGTGGACAGCCACAGACTCTAAATTTACCTGTGAAACAGAACTGACTTGACCAAAGTGACAACATCTCTGCTCGCATTGTACCCCGCACACACAATGGCAATATGAATGGTCTGTGACGAGAAAGACAAGTAGTAATTAGAACAGTTTGAAGCAGCATTGATGCGTTCAGTGTCACACCATGAGCGGCCTGGCAGAAAAAGGGCCACTTCAGTCCCTGTGCCCCCTTCACCTTTCCGATTTCTACCGAGGGGGGAAACCCCCCCCCGCAGAACGCATTTTCTACCGAGGTCCCCTCTGGTGCCGACTGTATGCAGTACATACATTGCAGTTCACAATTTCAAAATATGACACTACAATTTTATTAAATCACATCTTATTCAAATTCACAAAGTAGGGAAATGCCAATGAACAGAAACTGTTTTCTGGAAAGAAAATTAAGACATAATTCTAGCTTGCTATACAGTTTCTAGGGTTTCTCAATGGTTGCTAGGGTGTTATGCAGTTGTAGAGTGTTCTGGGTGGTATCTGTGGTGTTGTCTGGTCACTTAGTTAAGTAACAGCACATCTCTCCTCAACAAAACATGATTTGAGGAAGCTGAGGATGTCAGGGTTAGAGTCTTGATAGTGTGTGAATCTGTTCAGCGTAAGGTCCTGATTCAGGATACTAACCTCACATTTGTTCACCACAGGCTGATGCACACAGTCCGAGCTGTTGCCCGAGGCAACTCCTTTTTTAGCTT